ACATCAAGGGAGGCAAGAGTTCTTACCATATGCATTGTGAATGAACATTTTTTTTTGTTATTAAGAAAATAAACAACAAAAACATTAGGCATATATAAGATGATGAATGTGTTTATAGATAGATGTGTGCAAATTTATTAAACAAATTATAATACTTACATACAAAGTGCTAATCTGTACAAGTGATTGTATTTGTGTATATCCTTGAAGACCTGTTGATATTCAGAGATGAATTAGACAAATGACTGATTTCATAGGATAGGAGAAGTAGTAACTAGATTTTTCTCTTTGTCTTTCATGTTAAGTTGATGGTTTTATGTTATGTTTGGCCAGTCATTTTAGGCAGAATTACTTTCAGTGTCTAAATTCTAGATGTTTTTTGGATGAAGAAGGAGCTATGCATGTGAATCTATACATTTATATGTTTAGGCCATACAGTCATGTAGATAGATATGTATATATAGGTGTATTTATATACACTTACATATATTGTACAGGATATGTGCGTATGAGTGTCTTTATGTATGAAAAAAGGTAAATACATCTGTGAACATAAAGATGTTTATTTGTTTATTCTTTGTTTAAATGCACACTTACATATTTATTTCTGTTGGAATTAAAAAGTATTTAGCTATTTGATATAACAAAAAAAAATTCTAGATATTGCCATGGTATGACTACATACCCTACACTGATTTTATTGAGGGGGCAAATTACTTACAATAATTAGCCATGCAAGAGTGATTGATAAAATCAAACATATTGATAGACCTTTAGTTTCACAATTAATTGCCATCACCAGTGCACCTTCTGCTATCCAACTAAGGCCAACAAGCTTCCACCATGCATATTATAGCAGCAGAGAGCTCCTTATTAGAGATTCCTTGTAAGTGACAGTGAATCCCCAGGGAATTTTACAAGCTATATCTTATCACAATATATATGTCGAAGGTTTGTTGGTCTTGGCTGGAGTTTCAGTGATTATGTGAGTAACAGCTCATGGTTTCCGCTTGGAAAAAAAAGAAAAAAAAAGAAAAAAAAGTGTCTATGTATATATATATACATATATATATATATATATATATATATATATATATATATATATATATATATATATATATATATATATATATATATATATATTATATATATATATATAATAATAATACAATATATATATATATATATATATATATATAATATGATACATATATATATATATATATATATATATATATATATATATATATATATATATATATATATATATATATATATAATACATTATATATATATATATATATATATATATATATATATATATATATATATATATATATAATACATTATATATATATATATATATATATATATATATATATATATATATATATATATATATATATATATATATATATATATATATATATAT